GGAGACAAGAGAAAGCTGGAGGGAAAGGGTCATTTTTAAAACCGTATGGAGCTCAAATTCTTTGTATTATTATAGTAAACCCCAATGATGAGTACTTTCTTAGAGGAGATGCGTTATCTAAGTGAGATTTATTTATCTTATTTATTACATATTACTGAGTTCAAGATGGGACGTGACAGAAAGCTCGCATTACAGCCAGCACATTTTTTTTTTTTCGACCTAGATTTAGTAACAGTTCTACAGCATTTGCCAAACAAATAAGTCATATAAGTGCCGAACATTAGAGGTGTGGTGTTACTAGAGAGTGACAGGCAAAGGAAAGAAGAACAAATTAGGACGACAGATGTTAAACAGGAAATAAGGAGCAAATCTCGCCAGAATGCCCGCCAACCACCCATGAGCATTTACCGCGAAACAAAAAAAATATAAAACTTTATTTAACAGAAGCACATCCGCCAACACACAGAAAAAAAAAGTACTAAAAAGGAAAGACATCGCTACCACGGGAAAAAAAGATGATTTGTCCAAAACTAAGAAAAGTAAATGATACCTCAGGGGCAGATCCGGAATATTCTTGAACAACGTTGACAATTTTGGTCGTATTCTTTCATGGCACAAGTTTTTCACATAGTTCAGAATGTCCTCCTGAGAAGAGAAATTATAATTTTTTAAAGGAATAATCTACTTTTAAAGGAAGAATCTGCTATAACTCTATGCTTCCCCAAGTGTTCTAAGGTCTGCTGGGGTAATAATAGTTGTACAGCGCAGAGAGCAAGCAGTAGAGCATGGATACGCATAATATAAATGCAATTATTATTATTACTATTAATATTATTATTTGGTAAGCAACTCATTCATATGATTAAATTACATGTCTTACCAGTTTATAACACATTTTCTTATCTATCAAGGATACATTGAAAACAATTCAACCATCAAAGATATAGACAACAGGTTGTATAATCTGTACACATTTTGAATAGAAAAAAAACAGCATTCGACAACATTTATTGTACTCAACATCATCTTTTTCTAGTATGTCATGGTTTTTTCTCGACCTGGAAATCTGAAATAGGAAATTCTTGGCTCCCCCCCCGTTTTTTACCCGGTTGGATGGGAACCCTGGAAGCCACAGACATAGACATACTTTGGTTTGGAAATTGTTCTCTTGTTTCTTCACAATAGCCTGCAAGATAGCGGGGAAGGTGCCACCGAGCTCCTCCTTGGCCGCTAATTTTAGGATCTCGCCACGGATGCGCTGCACCTCCTTCAGGCCAATCTCGTGGACTTCCTGCGGCGTCATCATGCAGCTGAGGTGATGGTTCAGGCAGGCCTGGTACCACGCCGAGCCGTTCTTCAAAGTGTTGATCCCAGCACACGGCCGGGTCTTTTTCATGTATGTCTGTAGGAACAAATAAATAAAGAAATAAATAGGTAAATAAATTGAATAAGTAAAAAAATGAATAACGAATAAATCAATACATACAAACATAAATAAATAAATAAGTAAGTGAATAAACAAACAAATAAATAAATAATAAACAAATATAAAAAATATTTATAAATAAATATATAGAACTTGCGATGGGTTCATCGGTAGCGTACCTGGAATCGAGCTGAGCTTAGCTTTATTTTAGATGCAGGTAAAGGTACTTCAGCAGGGATGCCACTGGGACTTCGTGAAATTATTGAAAATTTAGTAAGTTGCATTTGCAAACAAAAAGTAAAAATTTTACTGTGTTATTGGACAACTTTTTATGAGGTTAAACAGAAAACAAATGCTTAGAATAATAACTAATAACTGTTCCTCTGGTGAATATATCAGAAATAACAGGGGGACGAAAACAAACCAAAAAAAACCCGGCATCACTGCATAGGTTATGAGTCTCCAACAAAGCACTCGTAAACTTGGATAATTATAGAAAACAAACATTAGATGTAGGTGCTAATACGACTCCATCGACACAATCTAGATCAAGCACTTTTCTCCCTGATAGTGGATGACCGCCTTGGATAATTTGACTTTAGTTTCCCGTGGCCTTAAGCAGCACTCACCTCTTTCACATAGTCTCTCAGTTCTGTGAGGGCAGGAAACACTTCTGACATCACAATGTCCTTGGCCCGAACACTGTACTTGGATCTATGACCACGTAGGAAGTATAATAATAATAATAATAATAATATAACAATAATA